CATTGAATTGACATTTTATTGCATGTGGCACATTAATACTGCTCTACCCTGTTAGTCTGTGTTTGACCTCCACACAATGTAAAGCTAATTGTTGGAAATTACTGTTTTATTAAGATGTAAAAATATATAAAAATGTAGTCTATACAAGTAATAATGAAGAGAAATCCTTGTAACACTCCAATAATAATGATCTCTGAGGGTTTTTTAATTGTCTGCCTTCTACTGATTTTTCTGACTTGCAAAAAATAGAGAAGCAAACAAGCAGCTGAAGGTCAGCAGTGTTAGCTGTCTGTACCTTCTGTACTCTAGGAGTGAGCTGTGCCCACATAAAAAGCAAAAAAAAAAACCTTGCCCTCAATAAGAATATATATGTATCTTAATTTGGTTGAAATGAACACCTGTGTTCCACAAATGGCTTTGTTAGTCAATGGATTTCAATGCTTTTAATCTTTTAACTGGATCTAGAATATATTTCAGCCTTAAACACCCAAGATAGAATTAAGTACTGTATTTAGGAACATGATGATAAGCAACATACAGTTTGTGCAGATTCAGAACTGTGCTCACAGCTCCAAAGCTCCTTAAGAAGTGGAAGTATTCAGCTAACTAGTGTCAGCAGAACAAAGATTGCATTACCTTTTAAAATGTTATTTTATTTATTTTGTAGTGGTTTTCCTGTTTGTGTTGCCTGCTGAATATTTATTCCTTGTAGTGCCTGGCAAAATAATGATGATACCGTAAACTAGAAAATGTCATGTATTTTATGCAGACTTCATTTGATATACCAAAGTGCATTATGAAAAAAAAGTGCACTATGAATTTTGTAAACTGCGGATATGTCAGCAGCGTGTTGTACAGGATGCTTTTTCTAATGTAGAAAGATCAGTCAAAGTTAATAAGATTGATGAAGAAGATTGATGAAGGTAAAAACAAAACACTCCTTAAAGGAAACCTGTTAAGGACTTAGAGGAGTTAAGATTGAAACAGAAGTTCATCTTTTTAGAGGGTGACAGTGGCGTTGGATACAGGAGTTTGCCTCGCAACCGGAGGTTTGTTGGTTCAAGCCCCAGCTTTCAGTGTCATTGTGTCCTTGGGCAAGACACTTCACCTGTATTGCCTTCTGATGGCAATACAGATGCCAGTGTATGAATAGTGTATGGGGAATGACTGAATGTAGTGTAAAATGCTTTGGTCTTGAAAAATTGTTATATAAGTAAAGACCATTTACCTTATTTTTTTCTTTTTTTACCATTTTAGCCACATAATGGCCCTTAACAATCAGAGCTACAGTGAAAATGTAACATGCATAAAATTCCTGGAAGTTTGTGGTTGTAATGTAAAAAAAAAGAAAAAAAAGAAAATAGGAGCATTGTAAAGTACTTTTAACTTTTGTTCCAAGTTGAAGAAGAAACGTTTGTCTGATGTCTGTGTTTAATGCTTAACCTGTTGGCAGATTCATTATCTAGAGTAAGATCTCCTCATCAGGCAATTTGTTTCTCCCCACTAGTGAGGACAGTTACATCGTGACAGACTACGCCCTGAGGCATCAGATCCAGGTGGGAAACAGTAAGCCGGAGGATGTCAACCTTTCCCCGTTGAAAAGTCCCACCAGCATGCTGGTCTCACGTCAGGTCAACGCAAACTATCTCTTTCGGCTGAGTTTCCATAGCAACCACTCCCGTGAAAAGGTGGTGAGGATCCTTGGAACAGAGTTACAGTAAGTGCCTTGTTTTATTGAATTGAATTAAGCTCTTGGTTTCCCTCACATTTTACATTGGAAATTACAACTCATGCATCCCTTGTGGAAACAAATGTAGGAAGATGTCTCTTCTGTGACTGGACTGGAATTATATGCATTGTAGTTAATGAACTAAAACTGTAAAAAAAAAATCACTGAAGCATAAAATTGTTTTTCATGTTATTTAGTCTTAAGTGAGCAGTTCCTTTTTAAAGGAGCAATATGTGCAGCCAAAATCCTGCAGGAGAAGTAAACACTGTCTGAAGTCTGTAAGCTGTTAAATGACCTTTTAGTAACATCATCTCTTCTCATGCAGCAATTAGACTATAAAGTGAGGATGTTCAGATTACATAACCCAAACAAAGGAAGGGGAACTGCTATACATCAGCCTTCTTATTCATTAACATGCATGGATACACAAACACACAAAGCGCTGTACACTATAATCATCTGCTGTGTTTCATAGCTTCGTTAAAGGAGTTTATTACAGACAGAAGGCCTGTTTCTTCTGCTTCTTATGAAGTGGCAGATCTAGTCATTTTGGGGCCGCAGGGAAACTAAGCACCTTCCTCCAAGTCTGCTTGTAGTCGCAGTAGGCCCTGGATGTGACATATTTTGCTGGGCTCATGCCGAGTGTTCATACTGCAATACTGTGACTAGGCAGTAGGGCAACATTTAACTGTAGTCCCTCCCCTGGCCTGAGGCCGGGCCTGTAGCAATCCTGCTGCCCGGTATCCCTCTATTTCCTGTCTTTGGCAAAGAAATTATTCACAGTACACACTTTACTTTAAACTATTGTGAATCAAATAACAAAAGTAGAAGGATTTTACGTGTTGGAATTTTTATAAGTAGTTAAGGATGAAGAGTTTACGTTTGGGAAAAAAAATTGTGAAGGAGATAAAGAAGTGTTTGGGATATTTAGAAAAGCCTAGACTACAAATTTGCACATTGTAATAAAAATAAGTTATTTTTAAAATCAGATCATCAGAAATTAGTATGAAGTTGATCTTTTAAATGTTAGTCAAAGTAAGGTCTAGTAATATCTTAAAAGACATTTGTCAATTTCTTTTGTTGCCTTACTACAACTTTTAGCCTAGTTAGTTCTCCAGTTTAAGTGGAGCTCAAACAGGCCTAAAGTTGCTCTCTGGGTTACATGACTCATTTAGTGATGGATTCAACCCTGGGCGCCCAAGTACATAAAATACTGTAAATAAAACCGTGTGCATGTCTTACTTTGAGTCAAACTGTGTCTTTGGTTAATTAGTTTATTTTAAAGGAGAAGTTCGGTTTTTTACACTTTAAGCCCATTTTCTGTAGTGTCCAGGATGAAATCGAATGATCGACACCAAAAGTTTGACAATTGCTCCTGTCTCTGCTTTTTGACTCATTTATAATCACCCCCTGGCTCCTTTAGAATGGCTCGCATAGAGCA